TCCTCCTCCCTCTCTCTCATTCCCTCTCTCCCTCCTCCTCCCTCTTTCATTCCCTCTCCCTCCTTCCTCCTCCCTCTCTCTCATTCCCTCTCTCCCTCCTCCTCCCTCTTTCATTCCCTCTCCCTCCTTCCTCCTCCCTCTCTCTCGTTCCCTCTCTTCCTCCCTCCTCTTCCTCGCTCTCTCTCGTTCCCTCTCTTCCTCCCTCCTCTTCCTCGCTCTCTCTCATTCCCTCTCTACCTCCTCCTCCCTTTCTCTCGTTCCCTCTCCCTCCCTCCTCCTCCTCCCTCTCTCTCATTCCCTCTCTACCACCTCCACCCTTTCTCTCATTCCCTCCTCCTCCTCCTCGCTCTCTCTTTCCGTCTCTCCCTCCTCCTCCTCACTCTCTCTCGTTCCCTCTCTCTCTCCCTCCTCCTCCCTCTCTCTCATTCCCTCTCTCCCTCCTCCACCTCCCTCTCTTTCATTCCCTCTCTCCCTCCCTCCCTCTCATTCCCTCCCTCTCTCGCTCCCTCCTCCTCTTCCTCCCTTTCTCTCATTTCCTCTCTTCCTCCCTCCTCCTCCTCCTCCCTTTCTCTCATTTCCTCTCTTCCTCCCTCCTCCTCCTCCTCCACCCTTTCTCTCATTCCCTCCTCCTCCTCGCTCTCTCTTTCCGTCTCTCCCTCCCTCCTCCTCCTCCCTCTCTCTCATTCCCTCCTCCTCCTCGCTCTCTCTCGTTCCCTCTCTCCCTCCCTCCTCCTCCCTCTCCCTCCAGGCTCACGCCCCACTGAGAAACGACATGCTTTGTGCACAGAGAGAATATCGATCCTTCCTTTTGTGATGGAGAGAACGAAACAGCTGTCACACTGACAGAGCAAGACAAATGGAGGAGAGAAGAGGCATTTACAATGCAGACAGCCTGAAAAGTAGAGGGAGAGAGAGAGGGGGAAGAGCAGGGAAAAAGAAAGGAGAGAGGGGAAGGAGTTATAAACAGATTCACAAATATCACACCTGGGGTATATATACTGGTTTATATACTGCACACACTGCACACCTGGGGTACTGTATATATACTGCACACACTGCACTCCTGGTATATATATACTGCACACACTGAACATCTGGGGTATATATACTGCACACCTGGGGTATATATACTGTATATAGTACACACCTGGGGTATATATACTGTATACACTGAGCATCTGGGTTTATATACTGCACACACTGCACACCTGGGGTACTGTATATATACTGCACGCACTGCACACCTGGGGTATATATATATACTGTATACACTGCACATGTGGGGTATATATACTGCACACACTGAGCATCTGGGTTATATATACTGTATACAGTACACACTTGGGTATATATATATACTGTATACAGTACACACCTGGGGTATACAGTATATACTGCACACACTGAGCATCTGGGGTATATATACTGCACACACTGCACATCTGGGTATATATACTGTACATAGTACACACCTGGGGTATATATACTGTATACACTGAGCATCTGGGTATTTATAAAGTACCCGAGGTACTTTATATAGACTGCTTGTACTGTATACCTGTGGTGTATATTCAGTACTCTAAATACATATATACGGGCAATATATACGGTACGTAGTTTGTGTATGAATATAAATGTGGTGAATGATGGCACACCAGGTACAATGATGCTGTGTTTGTGTCGACTTGATTTAATGGTAGGTGTTGCGTCCCGAATACGGTGTCTTTGCCGAGGATGCTCTGCTTGATGAAGGCGTAATTATTTCTGACAGCTGGGTGTAGGACCCAGCGTTCAAGCCGCGAGTGTGGAGCAGTAGCAGAGCAGAAGACAGAACAGACAGAGATGGACAGAGAGAGGGGCAAAGAGAGAGGGAGCAGGGAGGAGAGGTGGAGAAGGAGGGAGTGGAGAGAGGAGAAGGACAGGGAGAGAGGGAGAGAGGGAGGGGTGACAGTGCTGCTTATTCTTTCCGGCTGTTTGAAAGTCATTTAGCGGCTCAGCCTCAGCAGAGACACCAGTAACAACAGCAGCCGGAGAATCACACTGCGGTGACGGGACCACAGAGCAGTCATTCTGGTCCGCGGAAAGGAGATACAACTAACAGGAAAACAGCCGAAAGCTGCAAGAAGGAGGAAGAGAAAGAGAGGAAAGGAATCAAACACACAGATATATACAGCCTACAATGCACACTCAACACCGAACACACACAACGTGTAAGGACACGGGAATCCAGTCACACTGAGAGCGCGCAGAAACCGACACGAGCAGCCGGGACACAGCGGCGGACACGTACAGCGCGCACACTCATCTGGACGGGACCCGTCTGCTTCTGCGCCTCCGGAGAGACACGGCTCCAGCTGTCGGTCCGAGCCCGCGAGGAGCCCGCGAGGAGCCGCGCTCCCAGGTGAGTCTCTGGCGCGAGCCCGGCCGCTGGAGTCCGGCGCGCTCTCCCTCTGTGTTTAACCTCTTTCCCTTTTCTCTCCCTCCCTCCTTCCCCTCTTACTGTTTCTCCTTCTTAAAAAGACCCCTTATCGCATTTGTATCACACACCTCTGTTTGCCGAGAATCCCCCTGACCCGACCGAGCAGGAAAACGGGGGCGCGCGCGACGCTGCCCCATTCCGAAACTGCTCAAGAGCACATTTCCACGCGAGTCGAGTGAAACACGTCAGTGAGAAGAAGTGTCCGTGGAGCTCTGGCACCTGACACCTGCGTGTGGTTTTCGGAACATCTGGGGATTTCAGTCATTCCAGTTTTATTTGTAGGGTTTATTGGCAAGTCTGGCGAGACTTCCACTGTGATCAGCTGCAGACATCTCATGGGAAGTCGTTTGGATTCCCGTTTTCGTGTGTTTGTTTGTGTGTGCGTGTCTTTCTGTGTGCCCGCTCCGGCAGTTGTTGCTTTCTTTCTGCTGAAACAGCAGTTTTTACAGCTCTTTTTCGGTATTGGAGAGAAGGGGTTTTGCAGCATGAGGGGTACCGATCAGTGTTGTTGTTTAATTCAGAGAGGAACGGCCGTAACTGTTTGCGCGGATAATTATTCTCTCTGTCTCTTGTTGGCAAAACCGACAGGTTGGCTGTTTGCAGTGACTTTGTTTTGATCGCATGCAACTCATTTCACTCCCGGCAGCAGCAGACAGAGACAGGGAGAGAGCAGGCTCACTGCCGTTGTTTTAAAGTGTTCATTGTGTGTACTGGGGGGAAAGGGAATTCCAGATGCCTCCAGGAAAAGAACAAATTGGTTTTTGTTCTCATTCCAACACATGAAAAAAAGACACACTGCACTGGTGTAAACACTGCAACACTGTAAAACACACATCGTTGGAATACACGAACACTGTAACACACAGCACTGTGGCCCACTAACACAGCACTGTAACACACTAACACAACACTGTAAAACATAGGACTCTATACACTATCGCACCAATATAACACACATAGCGTTGTAACACACACATCATTGAAATACACGATCACACATCGTACAGTAACACACACACAGTAGAAAAATACAAACTAGAAAATAGTGTTTTCAACTTAAACTTTTTTGGCATGTACAGACTGTTCTTTAACAAGAATGCAAGTTCCGCAGTTTTTCAACGCAATCAGCAAAACATTCGTTCTGGACTTGTTCTGATGTTTCCTTTAATGAGAGCTAGCTGTTCTGAACCTCTCGACCATCACTCCCTGTCTCTCCTCCTAAGACAGTATATAACACATCATTGGACACAGCCTGTTGTCCTTATTCAGAGAGACAGACTGGACACTACAGTGGACACAGCCTGTTGTCCTTATTCAGGGAGACAGACTGGACACACCAATGGACACGGCCTGTTGTCCTTATTCAGAGAGACAGACTG